CTTTCACATTAGAGGGTGTTCACTTCCACCAAAATGTTTATTGACAAAAATACTAATGCTCTAAATGGTAAGAACCTCTAGTAATAATATTTTCTAATTATAATTCTTTTATATTATAACTTGCAAATATTAATATCTGCTACTTTCATAATGAATGCTAAAATAGTTATAACGAGGTAATTTTTTTTAGGTAAATAATTATTATGTACAATAATAATTCAAACTTAACAAGTATTTTAATTTTTTATTAGGTACAATATTTCCTTTTAACAAGTGTTTTTTTTTTTTTTTTTTTGATAAGATACAATGTTAACCTTGTGGTCAAAGACAGTACTGGTTCAATAAATCTCACTGTTCAATTATCTTGCGATGTCAACCATCATATTTGAAGAATATAAGATCAAAGATAAGAAATTATAAAATTTATTATAAATAACTTATTCTTACCTTTTCAAATACAATGTTATAATTCTAAAATTTTATAGGATAATGGAATTAGAATGATTAAAGATTATATCAAGTCATGCCAAGACCGTGCATATGCATTTATCATACATGTACCAACAATGCCACGTCAACTAGATTGTTCACCGTAACCTTTGTTTTAAATATAAATTGATCTAAAGAATATCTATACCTTTTAGAAGGTAAATATATATATATATATATATAATATGTAAGTATAACATTTTTACTTTATAATATTTTATAAATACATAATATATGTGTTGTTCATCAATTATAATACTAACTATCATGTTGACAATCCAGGAATGCTGATAGAAGACGCACAACAATTTAGATTTTAGTTATAATGTATTTTATTTATTCAATGAATTTCGAACAAATGTAATAAATTTTTATTTTTATTTTTATTACTTCAATTATAAAATGTCAACATTTTTTTTCAAAATTACGTATATTATATGTTAACAATTTAAAAATATGTTTGACATAATTGTAAATAAATTTTTTTAATCCAATTCGGTTCATAGCATGGATGATATTTAAAATTAAAGTCAATTAATCATTTTATGAACAACTCATTAGAGTCCGTTGTTTGCGTATACATTCTGTAAAGTTAATGAAATTAAAAATCAAATACCTCTGCCATCACATTACATCAAAAGTATGTAGAAGGTAAAAAATGTAGGATTCACACAAGGACTAAAAGGAGTGAATGGGTCGTTCGAATTGATAGTGTAGGGCAAAAAAACTCGTAAAAATCTCACATCAATTCAAACTTAACCAAATTGTGTGTTTGGTTTGATTTTGTGAATGGCCGGTTTAGTTCTAGTTCTGAAAAGTGAAGAATTGTAGTTTCAGTTCACGGTTTTACAGGTGTGTAATATAGTTTTATATACGTTAAAAATCTATTGCTGAATTTCACTGTTGGTAGAAGACCCTTAAGGGTATATAGGGTACTCGCAACACAACGAGAGTTGAATTGCCTAAGGACTGGGTTTGGTTTGGTTAATTTATCTTGTAACTTTGAATACTTCTTTTATCTCTTTCTCAATACTTCATAGGCTTTACAATGAAGACCTCAGGATGGTTCAAAAGTTGCTAGCTCCTTCTTCAACCCTGTTGTTGCTTAAGTTCTGTCCCCAATACTGTCAATGGTGAAATAGAATAAAGTTCAGCGGGTATTAGGATTTAGGATTTAGGAACTCAAAATTCCGAAGGAACCCCAAGCACAAAGTCACAATGCCAAAGAACAAAAGCAGCAACAATATCATTAAAAAACTAGAGTTAAGAGATGAAGTAATCAAACAACTGAACAATCACACAACACCAGAGCACTCAAGTAATGGGCATACACAATCCTTCAATCAAGGGAAAATCCACACAAGGGCAAGTGCAGCATTCACACCAATTATTTGCCTAAAACTCAAGAGGTGTTACAAGAACTTGCACAAAACTAAAATGGAATTACCTTTCAATATTTTTCTGAAAATGCTTCTCTCACTCGCCTAAAACAACACTTTCCGGAGCTAGTTGGAGAAAGTTCAACCTGCATTGAGCTTCAAAAGCATGGCTTGAGTACACAAATGCAGAGCTCCATTTTCTTTATTCTTCTTGACTTGCTTTGCTACTCAGCAGAGCGACAGACATGTGAATTCCTTGAGCAGTCTCGAAAGCATGTACCTTCAGCATCAACAAGGATTGAAATACTGCTGCAGACTTGATTTTGTATATTTGTTGTCCCACTCCAAGTCGTTCCACCATTGCAATTCACCTCTTATTTCTTTTATGGCATTTGCATTTTGGGTAGTGAATGGCAACTTCTTGATTTGATTGCAATTGATGACTTCAAGTATCTCTAGATGCTGCCATGACTGGAGTTGTCCACATAGGGTCGTTAAGTGGGGAAGATTTTTCAATTTCATTATCCGTAGGTTTGGAACAATGCAACTCGGAACCAATGTCTGGCTTGAAGTAGCATGCTCAGGAAGGTCCTCAGAAGACTGGCTTGAACTAGCATTCTCAAAGAGCTCTGCAAACACCCTACAAGAGCTAACGGTGACTTCTTCTAGATTTTCCAAAGTCGCACTAGAAGAGACAAGATATTTTACACGGCCACAACAGGACAAACTTATTTTTTTTAGTGTAGAAAGTCGGAGTTTGAGAAGGCGAGCTAGTTGTGAAATGGACAATAGATACCACACTTCATGGAGAACAAGTTCCTCAAGGTTAGGTAAGAGGTCAAATCGGTCATCACCGCTTTCTCTTGCTGGTAGAAACTTACCATAGTAATCTGTGATAGTTAGTGATTTCAAACCAACAAAACAGTAGCATTCATTCGCCAAGCCTGCAGGTATCTCTTCTAGTTCTCGACAATGATCCAAAGTCAGATTACTTGCATTTTCCAACAATTGCTTAACCCAATAACATTCCCCAGAGAAATCAACCCAACCAAGATTAACCATCTTTTCCTCATATTTTTGTTGTACTAGAAGTTTTTCATCAGCATGACCAATGACAAAATGGAATCTTTTTAATCTTTTTATCCAAGAAAGATCTTCAAAGGCGAGATACGAGCTGTTCAGGTTAATGTATAGAGAAATCAATTGGTTGAGGCATCCTAGCTCATCAATTGGTGCTTTTTCCAATTCTTCCTTTGGTTTCTTCCCACCCCACTTGTAGAAACTATTTGTCATGTCTATAGTTTCTAAACGGGACAACTGGGATATAATTCCATATGGAATATGTCTCAAGTGGTGAGTTTCTGACAGATCTAACAGCCTTAGATCAGTTAAATTTTCCATTCCTTCTGGCAATGCCTCAAGATTAGTGGAAGAGCAATCGAGAACTTGTAACCTATGAAGTGTTCCAAGTGGGGGTAATTCTTTGAGGTTCTGACATCCTTGTAGCAGAAGAGCCTTGAGTTTACGCAATTGGATAACTGAAAGAGGTAGTGTATGAATGCGAGTTTCACTCAGATTCAAGACTCTAAGTGCTGGAAATCCAAGCAGGAATCCTTCTGGAACTATCTCAAGAGGAAGATTACCTTGTAGAAGTAGACTTGATACCTTTGGGCATCGTATTGCACAATCAGGCAACCTTGTTATTTTGTTCTCCATGAAAGAAACTCTATTGAGAGATTTTGACAATTCAGCTTCTGAAATTTGATTCAAACCGATTCCTGACTGAACAAAGGATTTACATCCATCAATCTTCGAGGAGGTTGCAATCCATATGGCAACATCACGAACTACGTCATGCATCTTCACAGTGTGGTTGAAGATACCATCTTCTAGCAAGCAAGAGTCCTTGAGATTTTCAACCAAAGCTATTCCCCTATTCATTGAATCCTCATAGCTTTTTCGTACTACCACCAAGCCTTCCGCAATCCAGCATTGCACAAGTTCCCTTACTTGAATTGAAAAGTCCTCTGGATATAAGGAGCAATACAAAAAACAAGATTTGATATCCATATCTTGGAAAAACAATGAATCGTAACTCCATTTGAGAGGCTTGTACACCTTATCCTCAATTCCTTTGACGCTAGGCACAGACATTTCCAAAGCATTTAAGGCATCGTTCCACAATGTCTCCGTTGTCTTCCCCCTCATGGAAGCCCCAACAATGATGATGGCTAGGGGCAATCCACTACATTCTTTGCTAACTTTCCTTGCAATCGGTTCAATATGTGGTAGAGTGGCTACCTTCCCAGCATTTTGAGTAAACAGTTGCCAAGATTCTTCCTCGCTTAGAACATCCACTTTAACATCTATATCCGTCTTCATCTGCCGACATACATCCAAAGATCGAGAGGTCAGTATTACCTTGTTTCCCAGTTGAAATTCTGGTTGTTCTTGTGGGACACCTAGATAATCCAAATCAATTGCCTCCCAGACATCATCAAGAATGAGGAGGAATCTTTTCTCCCTTTGAAGTCGTTCATGAAGTCGGCTTGCTGTACTCTCCCTGCTTTCCCCTGCTTTTATCTCCAAATTCAGTCGGTTCAGAAGTTGTGTTTGGACCCTTTCCAAGTTGAATTCCTTGGAAACAGTGACCCATAAAATGATGCTGAAAGGTTGAGCAGCGATAGAAGAAGAAGAAGCAGCAGCAGCAGTAGTCTGAAGCTTGTTGTTCAAGTTCTTGACTAGAGTAGTCTTGCCAACTCCACCCATACCCCAAACGCCGATCTTACTTGCACCATCATCATCATCATTCAACAAATTCATAACCTTCATTAGATTTTTGGAAGCTGTCGATTGGCCAATGATTGAAGGCCCCGGGATGTGCTCAACTATTTTCAATTGGCAATTTTCAACCACCATGCTATTAGAAAAAAACTTGACGGCTTCAATGAGTCTTCTAACCTCGGTGAGGCTCTTGGATACTTTTTCACCTAGTGTACAGCCAAGGCAGCAGCAACTTGGAGTTGTTGGACAAAGGTTACCTTGTTGTACCTGTGCTTCTATTGAATTCACTTCCTTGTTGATGGCTTCAAGCTCTTCAAGCCACATCGTCACTGCTGGTGCAGCAGCTACCTGGCCTCTTCTCTTCTCAGCTTCCTCGATCTGTTCTTTCACGGCGTTTCCAAGATTTGTTAGTTTTCCCATTTCCTTGTTGAGTTTTTCGAGGTTGGATCGGAATCTGATCCTACTCTTCATCTTCGGATAGATAGCACCTAAAAGTTTACCAACTGCAGCAAGCCCTCCGGCCAAAGAAGCCAACAGCGCCATTTATTGATCGCGTTTCACAAACCCTCAATCGTAGATTTGATTTTGAAGGAATTTTCTGGATTTCTCACTCAGCCAATTCCATTTCCGACTACTTTTTCTATGCAGTATGGCATGTAGCTGGCGGGCCATTTCATTTCCAACACTTATTTATTTATTTATTTATCACCAAGCACTACCTAAAAGACATCGAAGCAAAACAAGCTTTATTTATTTATTTATTTATTTATCACCACCAACACTACCTAAAAGATATTGTTATTCATTTATTTATTTATTTATTTGTTACACAAGTATCCTTTGATATATTTAGGTCAAGTTTGGCATGTGTTTAAAAAGTTAAAAAGTTAATCAAAAAATTAAAAAGCTATCATTATTCACCAAAAGTCAAAAAGTACGGCTGCACAACTCACAATCTTAATTTTTCCCTGCACCCTACACACTAATTTATACAATTTTTTAATATACATTTTTTCATAAAAAGTCAAAAAGTTAATCCAAACAATCATATTTTTTTTTCTCAACTTTTTAGTCTAAAAAGTCAAAAAGTACACTTATTTAGGACATCCCAAACAACTCCTTAATTATTATTTTTTTATGAATAATATATACAAAGAGTTTTACAAGACGATGGTTGGAACTATTTGTAGACGCGCCCCCGTGGGCCTCGCTACTGTTCGGACTCGATTTGTGTCACTGTTCTTAATCTGAACCAAAGAGTCCAAATCCGGCAAATCATTTTGAGAAACAGATTTTTGAAAAGAAGTGTCAAACATGGACTGCTTTGCCAGATACAGAGTCGCCACCTAAATATTTTATTTTGGGGGAATTTAGGAAACCCTGACTCGGTGCCAAAGGCCACGTGTCCGTCATCACCAAAGTTGTCTCGGCTCGGGAACTTGGGTACGATTGGGGAAGGTCAGCTATGAGCACCCCCTCTCGCCCGATCCGAAGATCGGCCTCTACTAACTATGATATCCGTTTTTGAAAACGTTATGTGTTCTTATCCCGATTATTAGCCTAGAATTACTATGTTATGCGCACAACACAAAAGTATAGACTAGATTGCCTAATCTGGGAATAAGCATTGCATATCCGTTTGTTTTTTACAAATGTTTTGGAATTTGCTACTCACAAGTAGGCTAAAACACGAATTTCAATGAGCTATTCCAACTCAGACAATCCAACCTTCACCCACGAGCATTCAAGCAGTTATATCACATAAGCAGCTAGCCTCATGGTAATCATGCTATCATGGCAACACTCACACGCATGCAAGGATGCTAAAGCATAAATACTTACATCGTACTCCGTGCCAAAACAAAGAACTCGTTAGCAATCAATGCATGATCCAAGTCCATGTTTAAATGTCTAATGCAAGTACGATTGGGGAAGGTCAACTATGAGCACGGCCCTTTATGTGTCCGAAGATCGGCCCCTACTAACCAAGATATCCGTTTTTGAAAACGTTATGTATTCTTAAACCGATTATTAGCCTAGAATTACTATGTTATGCGCACAGCATGCATAAGCATAGGTATGCTATTCATGTCCTAATTTACTAACCATCAAAGCAGGTAGTAAAAGGGAGAATAGAGTGGGGGTATGGAAGACAATGCACACACTCACCCACCACTTATTAAGCACATATTCCCCTCGCTCGAGGGACCAAAAAGAATAAGTACAACTCAATAATGAATTAACTAACGCTAGCTAATTATTATTACACGACCAACTAAATTAATTAAAACAAAATTAATTACTTAAGAAGCAAGAAAAAGGGCCTGGAAGAGGGCCTCAATGCACGCGTGCTCAGGGTCTTGCTTACCGGAAGTTCCACTGCTATGGCAGCAAGTTGCCTCTGTTTTTCCCTAACTCTGCTTTCCTGAAGACTGCGTCAAAGTCTGCAGGACTGTGCTCACTGGATGTTGAGGAATGCTACCCGGCTGGAGGGAATCATCACACGGCTGTGATTTGGTGGTCATCGGCCACAAATGAAGCTATCGGCCACGGATGGATTGCCGGTCGGCACTCTGTGCAGTCGATCGGCAAAAAGTTTCTGCCGAATCTGTTTGACTGCAGCAGAGGATAAGGCTTTGCATGGCAATGCAATTCAAGCAATGTATGCACCAACCATATCCCTTATCATGTTTATGACTCAAAGGGACATGGTCCTTGGTTCTCGGACCATCAATCGCGCATTTCGATGCGTGATGGCCCAACAGACCAATTTATGCATGTTGATTTGAAATGCAATGCAAACCAACAAACAAGTGAGGAGCTCAACCTCAATCATGGATAATCAAGAGGCAAAGCATGCATGCAATGCAACCTAAGCATATTAACTAGGCATGCAACATGGTAATGCAAACAAGCATACAAGGCATGTGACAACTATGCTAGTTACTCAAGCATGCAAGTATGCAAAGGATGCAACATGTTAGGTAATTCCAACTAAGAGAAATGCATGCTAAATTCAAAGTCACTTAGACATGCCACAACACGTGATAGGCCGAGCATGCAATCAACACACAAGGTAAGCACGTCACAACATGCAAGAATGGACTTAGACTAATTTAGGCAGCCCTCAAACTAACCTAAAACAGTGGCTAAAATGCTATGGAATGAGGGGCAAATACACATACAAACATGCATGCAAATGGGCCAACACTTAAGCATTGAAGAGACAACTTTTAAGCACACTTAAAAGAAGATGAACATGGACATATGGCATACATACCAAGCTCTGAAAATCATGGTAATGATGGTGCCAAAACAAACAAGCAAGACAAGCATAGCATACAACAAATGATCTAAAGCCTAAGGCTCACAAAAGAAGCATTGAACTACACTTAGTACAACCACTCATCGCATGAATTAAGTGACTGAAAATAGAGATGTGACATGCTGAAATGAGCCTCAAAACCCACCTAAATGGCATCTAAATGGCTTAAGTATGGAAGCATGCACAAGGGCCCAAACAAGGAGCATAAGACAACAACCTTTTAACATGTTAAAGGGACATCAAATGCAAGCATATAGGCATGCCACAAGGACTGAAATAACATGACAAGTGGTTCCAAACCACTGAAATGATGCAAGGATGGCACGCGAGAAGGGTCAATGCTCAAGGTACACAAGAGAGTTTGCATGGTAGCTATACAAAGCGAAGCATGGATGACTCAAGTGACCAAAAATAGTCCCTTAGAATACTAAAACAAGCATAAAAGCTTCACAAAGCTAGGCCAAAACACATGAGCATGGTAGTCTAAATGCTAGGCACATGTTGAGGCAAATCATGGCATTACAAGGCATGTATGCTAAGCAAGCATGGTGTACCAAAACCAACTAAAAATAGAGGCATATTATGACATAATAAGCACAAAAATCAGCTAAGGCATGGTCAACATGAACCTAAACACGGTGCTCCCTCAAGAGGTCAAAAATGGTCCTTTTCAAGGACAACAAAGAGAGGGGGTGGCCCTCTCCTTCTTGGGACCTCAAAGCACCATCCTCACCTCTGAAATCCCTCAAGATTTCAGTGGTGAGGAGGCCCAAACACCAAGGTCTCGGAGCTCACACAAAATGGCACAAAATGGATCCTTACAAGGCTTAAGAGGGGTCAAACAACCTCAAACCACAAAACACTCTAAACAAATTATTTAGAGGGCCTAAAAACAGAACTTTTTTATGTTATATACTAAACACAAAAACAGTTGCAAGATAGGCAAAAATACAATGCAAGAAAGGGGTAAAAAGGAGCAAGCTTCTTACCCTTGAAGACCTTCTTCAACAATGGAGCTCCAGCAGCTTCTTTAGGTTGAAACCAACTTCAAAACCTCCAAAATAACCCTCAAGGGGCCTCAGCTCCAAGGGATGGTGTAATGGTGGGTGCTTGTGAGCAAAAGTAAGACAAAACACACACACTAAGCTCAAGAGAGAGAGAGAGAGACATAGGATAGATATATAAATCCTAACCTAAAACCAGAGCGCTCTAACTATGTTTTCTAACCCTAAATCCAAGAGAAGAGACTCTCTCTTATAGAGCTCTCTCTTGTAAGGCTTCTAAAACAAGCCATCCAAGAGGGAAATCCCTCCATACACGTGTATGGAGGGGAGCAGAGTGGGTGCCAGCTATCACAGCTGGCACAAAATATCTACTAAAAGTAGATGAATAGTGATTGGCCATTCAAAATTGCCATTTTGGCAAAATAAATGGCCGACCGGCAACAAAGAGTGCCGACCGGCAATATACATTGCCGATGGAACAAAATCACTGGCCGGTGGCCTCAAGCCATGGCCGGTGATGTGTGGGGATGCCTCACAAGGCATTCCCTGCCCCTTCAAGGCAAAACACAAGTGTTTGGTGCAAAACCAGACACAACACGGTCGAGTCGAGAGATCCTGAGGCAAGGTGCGCAACCGAGACCTCCGGGAACTCAAGACGAACACACAAGGGTAATCACCAAGTGTTCCAATGGTGACGTCCAAGTCTTGAGGACGGTCAAAAATGGGGTGTCTACACTATTGTAACATCAGTGCATTAAATGCAATTATCTAAATATATCTATAACATATATTAAAAGCATGTAAGTGTGGTGTAACAGATGGTGTCACAATGGGTTCTCTGTTTCTAGATGGTGTCACAATGGGTTCTTTGTTTCTTACGGATTTGGGCTGCCTACGTGTTATTTGGCTGGGCTACACACAGAAACAAACAAATTCGATGATTCGGTTTGTAAAAAGGCCCACTCTCGTTCTGCTGCTACTTCATTTCCAAGATCATTCATTCTAGAAATCCTCTCAAACGGTGGTCTGCGGGTTCTCTATTTCCCAGAGCTCCTCCCTACCACATTTGGTTGACCGACAAGGAAGAAGAAAACAAAATTTGCCCCTTCAAAGATGGCCTTTCTCATAAGAGATATATATATATATATATATATAAGACAATATATCTTGTTGAAAGAGTGCTTGTTGTCCTCTTCTTGTCATAACTGTCGGTCCTCTTCGTGCCGTAACGCTGTGAAAATTTGGCATCCAAAGGTCTGCTCCTACAGTTGCAAATCCTGGTACGTACACCTGTGATTTCGTATATTAGTAATGTGATTGCTAC